TCTATTTTTCTAACAAAAGTAGTGCTTAAAAGTGAATTGGAGAGTAGTTGGGGTATATTATTAATGTCATAGTCTAATTAAGGGTTCCAACCATTGTGTGTGGGTGGGGGTGGGGGTGGGGGGCCCCTTTAGCCACTCTCTTATGTAATTTTAGTGTAGTCAATTATCCCTCCAATACTTATGCTTGAGATGTGGGGGTCCCCAAATCTAATTAAATACAAAAATGAAAAGATGTGTTGGAGTATTTATCTCCCAAAATTAGAGAAGTGTAATGAAAGATAGTGATAGTATAAATATAGAAAAAAAAGTATTAGGTCAAATTACTTTCTTTTTTTTCATGAATAAATTGATCGTAAATATTGGTAAGTTTATAATCAAACTAATAAATTAATATCTTTATTAAACATCAAATATTGAATTTTATTAATCTCCAAGAGACATTTAAATAATGGTTAAAAAGTCAATTCTGTTTAAAATAAAAATAGCGTTCACCGATCTGAATCACATACATTTCTATACTCTAACTTAATGTTAATTGACCATTTAGTGGCGCGCACACATATATTCTATAATAAAACTAAAGCAAAATAAGACAAGACGAAGAGAAGAAGAATATAAGACAATAGAAGAACAATACACGCTAACTTTTTTTCTTTCAAGTGTTCACCAAATTTTTAAGTGTATACAATATGAACCCTTATGGATCTATTTATAGTGTAACATTGAGGCATACAAAAGGTTATTCATAAACATGACATTAACGCTCATCTTCATAATGAGGAAAGTAATGGAGATAATAGGTGAGTAACTTCTTCATATAGTGGACATCCACACTATAATATTTTATAACAATTTTTATTATACAAGCAAAGCCAAAAGAACAAATTAAATTATTGAAACTACTAATTCACCAGGGATACCTCGTCAACTAAAATTTTAAAAAAGAACATATCGAATAGTCATATCAAGCACATAAAACTTATGGTAGAAGACATGTCTCATACATTTCACTTAAATGTACATCGTACAAGTAATATAAGAACTATTTTATAGATTATTTTCAAGATGAATGTCACACTCAAAATAGTCAACATATGAAGTCTTAGTTACAAATATATGTTTGGTTTATTTTTATTATACTAGCAAAGTGAAAAGAACGAAGTAAATTATTGAAACTAGTAAGTCACGATGAATACGATCGATCTAAAAACATATTGAATAGTCATATCAAGCATAAAGCTTATGTCAAAAGATATGTATCATATATTTATTACTTTAGTGTACATCGTGCAAGTAATATAAGAACTATTTTATAGATTATTTTGAAGATGAATGTCACATTCAAAAGAGTCAACATATGAAGTCTTTAATTACGAATATATGTTTGGTTTAGATTCCTTGCGAAGATTTCGTTTATCTTTGATTTGGAATATGGCAATATTTTTCTTCTTCTTTCTTTTCTTTATTTGGGATGAACTTGCTAGATATGTTGTGGCTAAATTGTACCAAGCCTAACTTGCTTTATTCTGCATACTTTTTAGACCAAAAATGCTAAAACTTCACTCTTCTAGCTCCCTAAATCCTAATTATGTCTTGATTCAATTTACAAGAATATAACAGAAAAGTATTGAAAATATTTTTAAATTCAGCGTGAATTATTTATTTCATTCACGAACTATTGATATTTTGAAAAACAATCATTTAGTTGACTAATAAATTGAAATACACCCATGATTTGCAATATGAGTGAAATATACCCGTAAATTCTCGTCAAGTTTAGAAGTGTTTTTAACACTTCTCTCAGTTTTTATTTATTAATAAGAGCTTCATGCTCCTATAAGAATTTGAATCACTTGCTATGTCATGTGGCTGATTGGGAGTGTATCCAAGTTTGAGTCCGAAGCCTAAAGAGCAAAAATAATTGTCAAAAATTACAAAGGGGTACATTAATTTTTTTTTTAACCAAAAGGGCAAAATCACTGACCTACCAGCGATTTTGTCCGAACTATTTTCACTTTTACAAAAATATCGCTGTCTATGCAGCGTTTCATAAAAAAATAAAAAAAAATTAAAATCGCTGCTCATGCCGCGTTTTCATTATATATATATATATAACGAAAATGCGGCATGAGCAGCGATTTTAAATTTATTTTTTTTTTTTAGAAAATCGCTGTCAGGGCAGCGAAATCTTGAAACTTTTTTTTCTTCTTTTTGAAAATTTGGTATCTTGGCTGTTAGGTAACTATTTTAGTTCATTAATTATTTTCTTATAAAATATTGCTATCATTTTATTTCTTAAAATCGTATTAAATGTTGTTGAATTCTTTTAAAAAAGTAAATTTTATGATTTAAAAATAATAATTGGCAGTGATTTGTGTTTTAAAAAAAAGTTCCACCAAAATTGCTATTTGGCAACGATTTTTTTGTTAAAAAATACCAGCAATTTTCCGAAAAATATATATAATCAGCATTTATATATATATATATATATGCGGCAACTGCAGCAATTTTTAAAAAATAAATAATTTGGATTTTTAAAAAAATAAAATCATTTAGTGAAATCTTTATTAACATTGTAATGCGATTTTTATTTTGACCAAAATCAGAAAAACAAATTACCAATATTTCATATGATTTTTTTTTAAAAAAAATAATTGGCAGAAAATTAAAAAAAAAATAAAACAAATTGCTTTGATAGATGCCTTATTTTAAAAAAGACAGAACAAAAAAATGTACAGAAATCGTTGTCAACACAACAATTTTCCCAAAAAAAAAAAAGTAACTCCCATTAAAATTGCTACCTACACAGCGATTTAAAAAAAATTATAAAGATGTTGCGTTAACTTTTTTAAAAAAAGAATCCGCCAAAAACGCTACATTGGCTACATACCAACTAGGGGGTGCATCGGTCTGTTCGTTTTAATTTATGTATTATCGGGTGGTTTTTCAATTTTAAATATGTTAAACCAATAATATATTTTTTTATCCATTTTCAGTTTATCGATTTTGATCCTTAACTGTTCGGTTTTCTATTTAACTAATAAGTAATACTTATAAAACAAGTAGATGGCTTTTCTAATAAATTTGATGTTGACAAAACAATAATGTAACTATACAAATGCTTATAAAATAGAAACAATAATAGGAAGCCTGAAAAGAACTATACAAGTGTAAAAAAATTTTTAAAGAGAAATAGCATTCTCACTTTAGATTTTAACGTTTTCTATAATATGAAGTTTTGAACTCAAAGTCACTGTGAAGTGTGAATAGAAAATAGAAAGCTAAAGAAGAAAGAAAATATAAGGTATTGAAATTAATATATAATATTTAATTTTAATGGATTATCAATCTATCCAATAACCTAATGTTCAAAATCAATACCAAACTGATAACCCAATAATTTTTTTTTTAAAAAAAAACCATTAAAAATTGTTAATTCAATAACTCAATAATAACAAATCAATAATACTTTTATTGATTCAATTTAATAATCAATTTGATCTTTGCACACCCTCTTCTTCTTGGTAATACTTAAATTAAAGTTGAAACTTAAATTTATGTATAATAACTAGCAGGATGTTGACACTTAGCTAATTGCTATACCCAACTCTTCTTCTTGTTAATAGTTAAATAAAAGTTTCAACTTTGAACATAGGATTGACCAAAATGTCATGACAACTTGGTTGTATAGTATAAGTGCCTAGTGGGATCTTTAATCTTCCTCCACTAGTCATAAAGAATAAGTTGGGACATTTTTTTCCCCCTTAAACAATGGAAAACCAATGGTTTTGTCTAAGTGATTCTATTGAAAATCATGGGGTGGTGGTGCCTTCCTCTCATAATTCTACAATCCTTCTTCCCTCATTAAGAATCTTTGTAGCCACAATAGTGAATGAAGCTCCCATAGAGACTACCTTGGTATTTGTTCGCTTTACTAAAAATAACGCTTGTTATTTTAGAAAATCAAGACATAATTAGTTGTTTGTTTTCATTTTTATCCTTAGTCATAAAAATGGAGAGATATCGTTATAAATATAACACATATATATCTTTGATGTTACACAAATGACTCATGTATATCATTTTTCTCTAATTGAAGTGAAAAAAATCAATTTTAAATTTAATTTTAATTTTTTTTTTTGGTTAAAACAAGACATTAATAGGAGTATATTTGATCTTTTTCACATGTACTTTTGACTTTTTTACTCAATGTCTAATTTGAATGCATTACTTTGATTGTCAAATTTTATTTTTTTTTGTTAAAACAAGACATTAATAGGAGTATATTTGATCGTACTTTTGACTTTTTTATTTAATGTCTAATTTGAATGCATTACTTTGATTGTCAAATTTATTTATTTTTTTGGTTAAAACAAGACATTAATAGGAGTATATTTAATCGTACTTTTGACTTTTTTATTTAATGTCTAATTTGAATGCATTACTTTGATTGTCAAATTATTTTTTTAACTTTCTTGTAAATTTATCATATATGCCCTATTTTATATAACTTTGATTAAAACAAGACATTCATATAGGGGTATATTTAATCTTTTCCTCACGTTCATTTGACTTTTTTTTTATTCAATGTCTAATTAGAATTCTGATTGTCAAATTTATTTTTTTTAATTTTCTTGTAAAATTATCATATATCCCCTATCTTTTACGAATACAAAAATAAATTACAATATATACGGAAGAAAATGATTTTAAAATTTTTTTCTTACTTTTTTCTCTTTAAATAATAAAGTTGAGATACATTAAACCCTTTTTTTCAATAGATAGAGTGGTTAACAAATAATAATAATGTAATTAAATTATCTTCTAATTAATGCAAATCTTTAGGAGCGTACAAAATATAACATGACAAGTATTTAAGAACGGAGAGAGATGTAAATCTATAAAAACGTATAAAATATAACATGACAAGTATTTAAGAACGGAGAGAATAGGTCCTTTTTGAAAAGCATTAAGAGGAACAAAAAGACTAAAGGACACAATTTTCAAACACAAAGACCCCACTTTGCTTCCATTATGTTATACTCCAATAAGTAGGTTATACAAAGAGAACTTTCCATATTAACAGTACACAAACTGCCCACTGAATTTACAAAAGACATTATTATTATGTCAATAGTCTACATCTCAAGTTAATAGTGTGTCTCTATAGAGGATTATTAATTACTTGTCATAGATTTTGGCAAACTCAAGAGTCTTTTTCCCTTGAAGTTTATTTGTAACATAGTGCATGCTGTACTCTCCATGATTGTACCTTTTATACTTACAAGGGTTATTTTCATCAACCAATTCTTCCAATGGCCCTAACTCAATTTCATAACTTGGTGCATAAAATGTCACAATAGATAGTCTATCCTTTTCTTGATGTGTCACTGCTCTATGCTCCACACTTTTGTATCTCCCATTAGTTAGAACCTGTGGTACGCGAATACAACGAATCAAAGGCTTTATTGTTCAGTAGTCATCGCAATATAACGTATTAGCACAATATAACAGAACAAGTGCACACACCTCAATGGTATCACCAATGTTGATAACAAGTGCATTTGGAATTGGTTGAACAGGCACCCAAACATTGTCTTTAAGTATTTGTAGGCCAACTGAGCTGCTGCATTTACCCTGTTGCAACACTGTTAGTGCACTTCCATCTGAGTGGGGACTTAATCCCAAAACAAGATCTGGTCTAGGACATGCTGGATAGTAGTTCATCCTCACTGCTTGTACAGCTACTCCAAACATTTCTTCAAAAATATCATCATTCAATCCAAGACTCATCGCTATGTATTTCAACAACTTCTTGCATAGTTTCCTTATCTCTCTCGAGTATATATCCACCGTTTCACTGCAAAAAGAGCGAAAACTGAGCATCTATTCAGGGTGTGACTAAAATATTGCACACAACGGCTAGTCGCTAGATGATATCCCAAGCCTTTATTTCATTTCAGAGTTACTCAATATCTGTGCTGGTGAGAGTATACAATCAAGTGTGCGCAAATTGACCAGACACCACCATAACAAGAAAAATGAACTTTTCTTGTTGAAAACTAGTAGGTGGTCCCTACAAATTTTTACACTTGCTAATGCAACAGTTGTATTTTTTCGATACTTTTTTCTGTAGCTAAAGCTTAAGCTTACCTAAAATCAAGTGGCTTTGTTGGCCAGAGTTTTGGGTTCCTAATGAAATGAGGTTCCACACCAAGAGCAAACATGTTACACCAGTCAAGTTTTTGATCTTCTGAGAAGACAAAAGCTTGACCATAACCTTGAACTGTTCCAGGAGCCATTGGATATTTCTGTTTCTCCTCTAAAGGTAACATGAAGAACTCCATAGCTATTTTCTCCATCTTTTCCAGTAAGTCCAAGTCAATCCCATGGTTAATCACCTTTAAACAATGATAAAAAGGAACAAAATTAGAAAGCCTATAGTATTTTGCTATGTTGATCCTTCAAAACTAGTGCATTTTAGGAGGATCTGACACAAGTGCAACTTAGGTGTTTTAGTAATCAGTATGTTGTAAACACAAGTAACATACCTGAAAGAATCCCCACTCTTCACAAGAAGTAGAAAGCTTCATGATTTCATTATGGAAATCCTGGCTATTCGAGATTCTCGACAAATCAACAACAGGAATGTTAAGACTACAAGAAGATGGAGTAGTAACTGTGGCAAGTTTTGGTCTTTCTATCATGTCTCTTACAAATCTTTCAGGAATAGAAGATGGTTTAATCTTTTTCAGTTCTTGAACATCATCAATGTGACCAACTTTAACAGGAAAACTTGGCACTGGAGCCATTTTCTAACACTACAACTTTGTTTTTTGGAAAAAATGGAGTCTTTTTCTAGTCAAGATAGTAAAAGTCTATGCTTTGTTAGGCATACAATTCAGAAATATGTCAAGTACTTATAGAGGGTAAAGAATGAGTATCTCTATATTATTGTGTGGGTCCTTAACTGATGCACTTTAATAAATTCTCAGTCATGCAAGTTCTATATATGTTCACATACAAATCTATAATTGTTTGCATTTACATCCAATCACCAACCACCAATATGGATCATAGCATCAGCATCTTGAGTTTTGAGTACAGTTCTTTCCTAATATGAAGAGTTTATTTTGTCTTTTCTTTCCTTCTTAGCTACTTTTTCTGTAAATGTACACAAAAAGTTCTTAAAAAGGCATTGCACGTAGGTAAATAAGGAACGAGATGAATATAGAGGCTAAACGAGCATCCCACGCACTGGTTTCCCCGATACCATCAGTAATTAAGGAGAAACAACATAGAAGAGAGCACCTATGTTTGCACCAGTTCCAGAAGAGCAAAGAATAAGGGGATGTTATGTTCACAAGAACAAAAAAAGTGTTTATATCCGTAGTGATATAAGCAAGAATACTCATCCGAGCCACAGGAATATGTACATACAAAATTTACAGCTTGCTAAAAATCTAATGGTGCTACGGAAAGACTTAAATAAAATAGACATCATTGTTAACAATAACTAAGTTCCAATGAGAATTTGTGCGTAGCTTCTGGTCTTTGACATAAAAAAAGAAGGTTGTAATAACGAAAAGGACATGTAAGAATTTGGTTTAGCTAGTGGAATAAGAAAGACATGTTTTTGTATTCAACATGCAATCAAAGAATTTTTCCCCCGAAGAGAAAAATTCATTTTGCTTTGTTTTTTCTCCGCTTGTGCGTGGTGTTCAACCAATAGTCTCACAGCCAATAAGGGTTATACCATTATGCTCACGAGTGTAATCTTAGCTTAAGTCTGCCTTCACATACGTCTATACTATTTAGGAGGCGTACATCCTAGATAAACTACCCCACCTAGCAGTATACCGCCTCCAAATGATTGGTGTGACGGTTAGGCATTTCAGACGAAAGAATGGTCTTTCAAGATTGGTCCTTATATGTCACCACCTCCCTCATACATTCAATTAGTTGAGGTTGTCACTGTAATGCTATAGGGTAAAGTCTAGAGGGTCTAACTGTCTAGTCAGTGGTACTCACATCTCTAAGCAGAATTCAACTTCACCGTGTCCAGGTTGAAAAAAGCGACACAGTCGTACACCGTTCAGTTCATGTCAAGACAAATTAGGCTCCAGAACTCAAGAAATACTCCCTAGTCCCTATTCCCTACCACTCCAAAAGAGAAAAAAATGTGCTGGGCTGCAAAAGATACCAGTTTGTTAGCTGCAATAATAGTACACTATGGCTGTCTGTTAAGACTATTAAGAGTGGCCAACTTTGATGCATCTCTATGCTATTGTGTAGGACCCTAACTAATAAATTCTCAGTCATGCAAATTCTATATTTTTTAGAAATGTTCACATACAAAATGTATAATTGATTGCCTTTCCCATCCAATCACCAACCTTCAATATGGATCATAGCATCAGCATCCTGTGTTCTGTCATTTTGAATACAATTCTGAGTTGTTTTTTGTCTTTTCTTTCCTCTTTTGCTACTTTTTTAAAATATCTTTTGAATATAGTGTATTAGTTTCACTGATCAAAGCAAAATATTTCCACTCCTCTGTTAAGTTGCATTAAGGGTGAACTCTTGTCTAAAGATAATTTTTCAAGTTTAACTAGCCAAAGTTCACTGTCGTGATTAATCACAACTCACGTTGTCTACTGAAAGGTTCTCTATTCCCAATACTCGAACCCAAAATATCTGTGGAGGCGTCCAAAACATCCTATCCAGACCTGCAATGATTGTGGAAAGAATTGTCTAATTCACAACGTCAAGACAAAATATCAGGTTCCACAACTCCAACAATATCCTCCCTATCCCACTCCAAAAGTAGAAAAAAAGATCTCGGCTGCAAAAGAAATCAGTTTGGCAGCTGTCAAGAGGTAAAGAACTGAAACTGGATGTAATTGTTGGTACTTGTAAGAGTCTGATTATATTGTGTGAGGTCCCTAACTGATGCACTTTAATAAAATTGAGTTCCTGTAATTTAGCAAGAAATGTATAATTGCTTAATTATAGTCCCTACTTGCCTCACTTAAAAAGAAGAATAAGACAAAGTTAGTCATTACCTCTACATGTACTGATGGGAGGCAGGAACTGGAATTGAATGTAATGGTACTGGTAGGGGCCATACTGTTATTCCAAGTTGATGTCTCCCATTTGTGCAGACCAAATCTAGTGACTTTTTCATCACCCCCAAACCCCTTTTCTCAAGACACCTTTAAACCATACCAAATTTTTTCCAACTTGAAAAGTAAAATGTATCTTTTTAACCATGGTAAGAGTGTAGGGTAAGTGGAGGATTGGGGTGGGGGTGGCTTTTTGGAAGTGAGGAAGAAAGAGGAGAAGTAAAATTGGATTGAAAGATACATTTGACCAAATTGAGTTAATGAGTTTCTTCCTTTCAGACAAAGCATGCTATTCTTTACATTTTCTTCCAGGTATGCTTTTTTGTCCCAATTAGGAAAAAAGAACAGTTTCCTGATATGAGAATCTGTTCTTTTTTCTTTTGGTCTCTGATGATGACTAGGAGAGTATTATTTTCACCTTGTGCAAGTAACAGATTCTACAGAGTACTGGAGGACTTGATTTGGGGTTCACTTCATAGTGATCTAAAAAGTTCCAAAATTCCAAACATGAGAGTTGCACCACTGCTTTCCAGCACTAAAAAATTTTATATTAAGCAGGCCAATCAAAAGAATAGCATTGACAAGAAAAAGAAGAAGGATTATCAGAGCTTTTTTCAAAAAAAAAAAACAACTCTTACATGTTACAGCTATAACACTATTGAATTCCTGATGTTAATCGAATTACTGACGTTTACAAATGTGCAAAAGCTACAATTACAAAACTAAAACTAAAATCAAGCAGTCCGATATATGCTACAAGTTAACATCCCCAGTTGTGTCCGAACTTCGATCTGGCTGTCACATTTCCATATGGGAATGTCAATTGTCTAATTACATGTGATTGATGGACTAAACAGTTGCTTCTTCAAGGGGAAAAAACGGCCTCTATAGACCAACCCCAGCCAAACAGAGCCATAAAGTGTTGTTCTAACACTAAAATATGCAGATATGTGACGAATTCCCGCAGAAGTTCTGTTCTCTTCCAAGCCTTGTCAAGCAAAGAGCAGCACAGCAATATGCTCCAGCATGACTCAGTTGACATGTGCTAGTCATAAAAGTGACATCTCCTTTAACACAGCAGAAAAGTTGACAATAATCCTTCTCTTCTAAATTTGAGACTCTGCACCAGGTCATCTCCAGTAAGCCAAGCAAAATCTCATGCAAAGAAACTGCTTTTTATTGGTTCTTCAAATATAAAATCAGCTGGCAGAATATACTCCGTTACTCATATTTAAGTACATACCTGAGGCAGTAAATCAGCAGTTTCCTGTTCACCTTACAGTTAATCATCTCCCCTCCACAGTATCCTTCACTATCTTGGACACTGTAATATGACGACTACATCAACAGGAAGTGAACAGAATATAATAGTCTCACCAATCATCCTATTTCTATTACCGTATCTGCCCAATACTACTATATGCCACAAAGAACTCACTTCAAAAATGATTCTCCAAAACCATTTCACAAGCAAAGCCATATTTAGTCATGCAGATTCCCAGTGCACAGACAATTAAAGGGCAACCACAACGTCCCCTTTTACAAGGTAAATATCTGGGGTTATAACTGTCACCATTCCCACTACCTTGGAGCTTCTTATCTTTCCTCCACGTAACCGGGCATTAGAACAAGGACATCATAGAAGTAAGCAAGTTTTACAGACTAGAGTTGACAGGAGTGATCTGACCCCACCCCCTCTTCCGACAAATACTGTCATCCAAGATGGATTTATTTTCATAATACTAAAGGAAAAAACTGTCGTGCAGATAACTATAATTATATCAGTAGTTGAGAGAGAATGCTGCATTGCATAATTTTATCAGTACTTGAGCAAAATATGCCTAACCATCAACTCGTTCATAGAAGGTTATCAGTTAGCGAACACCAAAATTCTCTCATTTTCCCTCAAAACTGAACGCTCAAATGGAATATCAAAACTAGATCAAATCCAAAAACAAAAGCTACTGAGGAGAGATTGATATATAACAAACTAGCATCCCTAACTTCTATTCTTACATGCTAAAAACAGTTTTGACTAGGCATATTGATCTGTTTTAAATTTGTTGCATCGAGAATAATTAGACAAAGAACAAGAGTTATTAACACAACTATAGATCGCCACTCGACATCTAAATACACCACTATCAAGTCAGAAATATAACTAAAAAAAAAAATCTGAACTTGGTCCGGGTTGGACCAATTATATATAATGACAAAGTTACAAAGACTGGAAGACAACAAAACTAAGCCCAATATGGCTATAGGTACCTGAATAAAATAATGACGCATTTGGTGTGAACCTTCTGGAAAAAAAAATCCCTTCTCAAAAATAATGCATTTGCGGTCAGTCATCGATGAAGAAAGCTTTTACCGGCACGCAACACAGATTCAATTGTTTATTGTTATCTAAGCAGGCTACAAACTTGAAACACAACATCTATAAAGAGTAAAAAACCACGGGTAATAGACTTACCTGGCATGCCTTTCTGGAACACAAGGAGCAACCAGGTTTGACTGTGTCCCAGGAGGAGCATATTTCCCATATCATTTACTGTACTAAACAGATTTCCTGTTGCAATTTCTCCACAATAAGATCAGTTTAAAAAGAAATTCAGGTCTAATCTTCATAAATCCAAACAAAGGAAAGGTGATATTGCACAACTTACATATGCTTCCAAGTTCTTCTGCAGCGCGTTCTTTTAAGATCAACAGATCCAACGGATACCAAGCTGTCAAAAGAATTGACCCACACACCCAACTTTCTTGGTTCATTTAGAAAAGAGATCAAAAGCTGATAAGATGATTATAGGCATGCAGAATTAAGTAATCAACTCCGTGTTTTCCAATCCGTTATTTACCAAAAGATGCAATTCTGTAACGACCTCCCCTCTTTTTTCTCTTCTTTTGTGAGGCAGAATCAGTGACTTTTTTCTATATATTTTCACCACATAAAAAATTTAAAGAGAAAGGAGTAAAAAGAAATAATGGCGGATAACATAGTAATTCCACTAAATTCCTCCACCAAAATTGTGCCTTATGTTCCATTAGGAAAAATGAAGTTATATACGGCAACCCAAGGATCAAAGTCCTCTAGTAAAGGATGAAACATTGGGACTACATTGAAACTCATGTCTACTTAGATATGTCAACTAATGTTCTCAATATCCGAACTCCTATTTTTCTCTATTCCCAACCAAAAGACCCTAATATTCAAAATTGGATCTCAACTGAACTCCGAATCTTTTCCTTGAAGAGTTGAAACTTTATACACCTCATCCCCAGCCTGTAAATTTTAAGGTTGATCATCTGTGCCCTTATCATATACCAAAAAGTTGAATTCTCAAAATTTCATGAAATAGCAAATCAATCCCACTTTGTACACATGTACAGGAATATAACACACTTAACAGTATGCCTCTTCACTAAATTGCAACGCAGGTCCTCACTTCCTTCCCATATACAAGGGCCTGCTTGTGAATGGAGAACCACATAAATTACATGGTTGATTTAACCTCTACTGCCACCGAAACCATTATGGTTAATTGCCTCGATAGCTTGCCTCACCAACCGTATTAGCTCCTCTACATCCTGGAAACTGAAGTCAATAACCCGTTTAACTGAAATGAAAGCGTCCTTATTCTCTGCCTCTCCAACGTTTGTGGCAGCTGCAAAAGCAATCTGTGCTTTTCTAGATGCCTCCATTGCAGAATTTACATCCTTTGTCTGCAAAATTTTACATCAACTTAATTGCTTAACCTACAGAAATGGGTAGCCAACACAAAAATAATACAAGAACTCAAATCAAAGGAAGAAATCCCTTGACCCCTCCAGTATTCAGCACTCATTTGACGTACAAAAGGAAAAAGAACCCTTGAATATCCAACAAAATTGTGGAACTAGTACAGATATGTCTGAAATCATAAACCAGTCCACTTACAAAGTCAAGCAGACGAACAAGACTAGGACGGTTTCGAGGAGCAATAACATGATTTCCAGAATGAGAACCACTGTTTTTTGATAAAACAGTCTTCTCTGCCACTGTTAGATTGTTCGTATTATCAACATCAGATGCGGAAGATGAAGGAGATTCACCTGAATAAAACGTGTGGGTTAAACATGACGCAACTGCACACCATCGAGAATATCTGAAGCAGAATCACATTATACACACTAGATACGCTAAAATATATCCAAATTCAAGTAGAAATTCACGTGAATGAGATTCGCCTGAACAGAAGATTATCGAGAACTACATTATCGAGAATTTTTGGACCAGAATCACATTATAATCACAGAGATTCTAGAGCATGTTCTTGCAAGTGGGAAAATCATGCAGAAGCTAACAGTCCTCCATTAAAACAAAGCTAGATTGCTATAAACCGTGAATCCAGAGATATATATGTCAATGAAGGACAAAAAATAGCCAAAGACACTCTATTTACAATTACTTTCTCCTTTTAATTATTTTTTCCTGCAGCTTCCAAATTGTGGCTAAGCATTCTTTGCCAATCAGTTCTTTTAATCACAATAATGCCCACCGCCATGCACGGACAAAATAACTAAAAATAGGACAAACCCCAAGCTCTCATATGCTTTAAGACTTCATTATACAACAGAATTTTCAATCAATGAGATTGCTCCAAAAATCCAAACATCCATTGCCCCCTCCCTTCTGTGTGTCACTTACACATACACATCTCTTTAAGCATAGTGCATCTGCATGAATCAAGACCTGTTCTTCAAGACTGAGAAATCCACTACTTCCATCTTCAGAATTTGGTGGATGAGGGATGAGGTCTGCCCCTCTATCCTTTTCTACTTAAATATCAGACTTGGTCCACCAATTAAGATTACTCATGATGTCCGTCTACCACACATCTTGCGATGTACTATCTCTGCCGCTAAACAAAGCCTTGGGGCGTATGAGAATCAAGAAGGTTAAACTAGGATGTCTTATTTTCCCCACTTTGATATCATTTACCGCTGAAAATAATTGGAAAAATATGCAGGTTGAATTACAAAATCAGTATGCCTATTGAACTTCTTATGCTTTTGGTCCAGATCTTCTTGTGGTTAAGTGATGAAAAACATACATCAATCTAATTTCTCAGGGCAGAGAGGGGGTGGTTATCTGTTTTAACCACATCTCTGCTAAACTAAAATCCTTCTCAAATCAAAATCACATTCCATCTATAGCTAATGGTGTTTCTTTGAATGTGGGATATAAAACAACAAAGAAAGGGAAAGAGGAATACTAAGTGTATCATTGTATTTCTTCCTTTTTAGGTGACGGTTATATGATTATGCTAACTGCTGCAAATTTGATGGCGGCAAGACAAGAAACTCTGAAGTTCAATACTTCATGACACAACATACCTTGAGGGGGAACTTGCAAATTTGCATGCAGATCATGCCAAATTCTACTTGAACTCATACTTTTGCAGTTTACCACCCTCATGTATGCAACCTCCATGCACTTATAGGCCAAAGCAGCCGTGGCAGTTTCATCATGCTTCTCGTATTCAAGTGCACAAGCTCTGCAACATTATAAATACATATCACAGCCAGAGAAAAAAACAGCCATCAAACAAGAAGTAATTAGATAGTTGTAACTAATCAGACTTGCTTAACCATATATATAGAAAAATTTGTACAGAATATTCAACTTTATCTTCAATAAACCAGCTTCTATGCAGAAAAGAGTCATGCCAATATGTAAACATTAGGATATTCAGCAGCACTCCACAGGAAAACAATTGATTAAATGAACAGAAGTTTCTGCTAAGTAACTACTTGGTAAGGCCGAGGTTCTTCATAAAACGGTATGGCCTTGAGCCAAAAAAGTAAACCAAGAGACAAACCATCAGTTACAGATTTGAGGAGCCGCCAGTTTGGAAATTTCCCCAACAGAGAAGATGTTAAAGAAGTGCTTACGAAAAGGTCTATTAAACGGATGTGTACAGTTGAAGCTATTAAGAATTATTGAAGCTAGTTAAAATTGTACATATTTAATTGTTGAAGCTGCTTAACGGATATGTGAAGCCATTAAAAATTGTATATATTCAAAGGATATGTACAGATTGAAGTTACACTTACTCGCAAAGTTTGGCTGCATTACTATAGATTTGTATTTGATTCATCTCTCTGGATTTGCTACTTTCCCCATTTGAGCTTTCGAAATGTGAAGCACCCTGAAGAAACAGTAATGCCGCTTGGAAATAGCCATGATTGTAGTCGGCATGAAATCCAGAGTTCTGCAAGTAGCTTCAACAATTAGGAAAAAAATACAGACACTGCACACATGAGTATTTCTTCAGTATAAACTCAAGTAGATAACAAAGCAGAAAAGAAACTAGCTTTACAAAATAGACCAGTAACAAGTTCCACTTGAGATATAGTTGAAAAGAGATATTAGTAGAACCTTAAGACGATCAGCAGTATCTCTAAGCTTTTCAGCTTCTGCCAAGATAATAGAAGCAGTCTGACTGGAGGACTCTCTTTTTGAGGGGGTAGGAGCACTGGGTTCCTGCACTGCACAATGATCAGACTCCAACCGGCCCATACTGTTGTGACTTGCGTTTTGACACACACCAATGCCAGGATCTTTTAGTATCGTTGACACTCTGGCACTTACAGAAGAATTCACCATCCCTACATTTTTAAAACTTCCTTTCTGGGCACCTGAAGCAGGTTTGCTCTTAATAACTGATGTGCCTAATTTATCTTCAGCATGTGCACCAACTTGTGACCTTAGGTCCCTGGATTCTGTCTGAATTGATCTACCATTCATTGCAAATCGAGCATCACTTTCCTGATGAAGTTTTTCCTTTGTAAGAACTTTTCCTTCCAAGTCATATACACTATTCAACTTTGTGGTTGACCCAACACCATCATGCTTCAGTCGAAGCTCTCTACTGCCGTCACTACAATGTGTGGGATCTTTCTTGCTGACTTTCTGATTGTTTTTGAAAGATTTAGTACTAGAATCAAGATTATTAGGGTCAATCTTTGAATTCAGGACTTCCTTGCTGCCTAGTTGATCCGATATGTTCTCTTCTAACCTTTGAGTATTAAATCCAGTATTCCAGTCTTTCTCCTTAAATTGCAAAGGAGGATCTTTGGCAGATTTATATTCGTTAAGCACAGAAACGTGTTTCTTGCTCAATCTACCCTTGCCATCAGAGCAATATGCAGCACGCTTTTCAGGCATGTAAGGGCTACATTTCTCCGGAACATCAACATTATTATTACACATATGGCTATTTCCAAGGTCGGAAGAATGTATACCAGACGATTCAATTTTTTCCCTGGCATCATTACCCTGAAAATCTAGCACAAAATTTTCACAAACCTCCGAATGAGGAATACCTGGTCTTTTCCCCTTTATCAAGACCCTAGATTTATCACTCTCAAAATCGCCATCCCTATCCAAATATTTTCTTGGACTTCCAATGTCATCCAATTTAGCATCATCTTTCCCTGAACTCTCCATTCTTGCAGGTGAAGCGTTGCTCATGATGAGCATCCTCATGGGAGATGAGGAAACAGACCCAACAGGAGAGCCTTTCACTTGGTGATTCGCTCTACATTTCCGAGAATCAGAAACTTTTGACGAGCTTGAAGTGGCAGCCACTGGTAACTGTTCAGATCCCAAGTCCTTTTTCAATGAATCAATATCTTCCATCGTCAACCGAGACTGAACCTTCACTCGATACTTCATTGTCTGATGTTCTCTCTCTACACTTCTATCTATAGGAAAATCCCTGGTTCCTGGTAGAACAATTCTGGTAACTGCACCTCTTGTTCTTGATGATTTCTCCTCACCCTTGCTTGTACTGGGCTCCTTTTTTTCAGAATGAAATACCTTGGGTTTCTTCTGTTTCCTGAAACCACTCTCACCACTAGCCTTCCCCACAATAGCATTGACATCGCTGTCACCCAAGAGATTACCTTTACTTTGTGAATCCATTAAATAGTCTTGATCCCTCAATTTTCTTTTCTTTATAGAAATTTCTCTTCTGATATTAGTTTTAATGTCAATCAAGTCACTATCCCTTGAATCCTGGACTCGGTTGCCATGCTTCTTTTCCAATATTTGTACCCTTTCTGTCAATCCAGGCTTTGTATCCTTCAAATTGCCATGTTCATGGTAGTCCTGGGTACCGGTCACAACTCCCCTAGTTGCCACAAAAGCTTGGTCACTTTTGATTTTTAACTTTTTCAAATCCCTGCGATCATATTGATCGGACTCCCTCTTGGATTTCTTTTTTGGATTTTCATCACCTGATATGTTATAATTGGAAGCAAGTTAAGAACATATACAGAGTTATGACAGGCAGTAATGAAATGCTAGCCTTAAGATGAAGTGTATACCATTAGCCATGCGCTCCGTCAGTTTGTTCAATTGTTTGCCAAGGACATCAGACGACTTAACTGGAATCTGTGCATTGGATTTGCTAATTGAGTTCGATTCAGCAACAGGTTGGTTCACATTCTTAAAACTTCTGTTTTTGACCAGCTCAGATGGCAAGTTTGAGTTTGTGGTCAACATTGGACCATGATTGCTGCTTGTGTTTTTATGTTTCTTCTTTCCTCCATTAGCCATGTAATCGAAACCCGCGTTCTGACTGCTACCACCGAGACCATGCATATCAGCTGAAACTACTCCTACCGCACTTCTACCAGTATGATTTTGAAGGCTATTTAGGTTATCAGGCAGGGGCATTTGGTATAAGGCATGCAGAGCTCTTGTAGTCTCCTCCTCACTAATGTCACAACGGTTCATTCCAGGCCTACAAAAGTTAATTTTGATTTGTTATCACCAAATTATAGCAATACAGAATCTATTTACAGCGTTGCATAACTAGCAGAGTATTGGAGCATACATACACACTAATAAAAGAGAGCTAAGATTTTGAATAGAACACAAAAGAGACTAAGATCCGAAAACTGCAGAAAACTTACAGCCAGTATAACATACTGCATATCCACCTCTCAGGCAGTTGCGCAGGTTTTGTACCATATGGAAGAAGACGCCACCTCTCACATTTATCACAGGCAACCCAATCTTCTTCAATAAAGACAGGAGCAACTGGTGGCTCAGCTCCAGAGGTCAGCTCTTTCACATCATGTATGCCCATGGCTGAAGGATCCTTCATAGGGGTCGCACATGCCACATGACTATCAGCTTTTTTGCATGGGACCTGTCTTGATTTAGAAGAAGATGAATGCTGTCCTTTACGTGCCTCTAGTTTAGATTTCTTCAACTTATCACCTGGAGGTCTACCCAGTTGATTTGTGGGTTTTTTCAACTGTGCATCAAATACATGAGCCACCCGTACATCCTTCATAGAACTCTTCTTGTTCTTGAGGGTAGTAGAAACCCCTCTTACCTCTACCATATCTGCAGCAGGCTTCAAACCAGGTTGATGTTCTGTTAATTTCTTTTTGCCTTCAGATGATTGCTTCTCAGTGTGAGGTATCCTTGGTTGGTCAAGTTTATGGGTTGCAGCTTGCTTAACAGCTTTCTTTCTCAGAGAGGCAGCCCCACTAGAATCCCTCTCACTCTCAGATATATTAGAATTAGCTCTAAATGAAGGAACGGATCTGCTGTATTTGCTCATGCCACCTTCCTTGATATCAAAAGAAGCATTTCTCTGAAAGCTTTCTAACTGGAGTTCCACCGATCTACTTCTTACTTCCTGGTGATCATATTTGTCACCACTTAGGTCAGATAATGATTCTAACGAGTCATCCTTATCCAAATCACTACCAAACAGTTGATCTTTAAGTCTATTGATCTCCCTTTTCTTCAGAGGAACTTCCTTCTCTGAGGCTTTTATAGCTTCAGGTGCACCACCAGCACCTTTCACTGATTCATGAGTATCACATACTAAATCATGTACAACTCTCTGATTAAGGTCATTTGAAAAGCAATGCCTGTTTTTCAAGCTCTCAATTCCCGAGTTTTTCTTTAACAAGGACATCGTGTCATTTCTGACCTCTGAATTCAGTTCCTCAACATATTCACTTAAACCAACTGATTTACTTTTCTTTCTGATCAAGACATCTCCATCTTCCAGCCTGGAAGTTGAACTATTGGCAGACATGACAGATTGAGGGTTAGTATCCTTTGCAACAGACACATGCTCATTCTCTGCGAAAGGTTTTTCATTTCTTGACAAAGTCAAAAACTTCTCATTGAGAGGTGAAAGCAGCACATTTCCAGCAACTGGGAAAGAAGTCATAGTCTGTTACAAAGGGGGGAAACAGAAAATTAAAATAGCACCAGATACTGTACTCTTTTTTTTTTTTTGTCTGTGTGAAAAAAATAGGGATTTTTGTGTAACAGAAAGCCTACCTGAAGGATGTTGGCTGGAGAATCACTATGACTTTCTTCAACCTTGGCCAACATCTCACCACTCTCAGTAGGACTATTTTCCATCGATGAAGAGGGAGAGATAAGTCCAAGACTAGTGTGCAAAGCAGTACTCTTCTGAGCTGTCTTATCAGAACCAACTCTAATCCGAAGTTTGAGTGTTCTCTGATCGGTTGGATTAAGTGACTTAATCATAGAAACTTCATGTTTTGCAGGGAACTTATTAGATTCTTGAGCAGATGAATCTTGTCTTGTGGTATCACCCCCAAAAGGAACCCTTGAATCATGCAAGGTATGACCACCACGGGAAGCAGCTGTACCATTCTTCCTAGTCGAAGGAAGACCAGACACAGACGTTGGGTTCTGAGGAGCTCCCTGGACAGAAATGCAACCACCAAACAGAAGTTAAACTAAATTTTCCCAGGTTGATAAAAGGGATGTACAAAATGTTATATCTTCCAAGTATTCAACAAAGGCAAACTTTAAACAGACCTCGGAGGCGAAATGGCTGGGTGATCTAGATGTGCCTTGATTTTGAGATATCTGTGGAGTTCTTGGCTGAGGTAGAATTGAAGGGGAGCGTTGATAAGTCGGTAAAAACGAACCATAACCACCAAATTTTGCCCCTAAAAAAAGTAAAAGAAATTTAATCAGCTATTCTCGAGATATACAACTGTTATATATGATCAATAGGACTTGTTGCCAGCCTACTTACCCAAATTCTCGGCAGAAACACCTCCTTCAAAATCTTTCTGAAAATGACCCAGGACACTTTGAAGTTTCTCATCCTTCACACAGAAAACAAACAGTTGAACTATCATTGTTTTGTAAAATCAATGGCAATAATGTAACATACACTTCAACCTCATTATTATTGCAGTGTAGGGGGGAGGAAGTCTGAAAGAGAATCTCTTGTTCTTTTTCTTTTCTTATTTTACACACTTCACTAAGCAGAAATAGTCCAAAGCTTCAGCAGTATAACTAGAAAGCAACATTTCTAGCAGTGTTCCAATGATATTCATTTTCTTCAGTTCTATTCCCAAACCAAAATAGTTCCCTCTTTAAGGCAACCATAATTATTTGCCTGATTCAGTACATTCTTTACAGAATCATGGAACCATCTATAATCAATTTGAATTAGTAAAAGTCTAATCTTTAACCCAGAGCAATGACAATGAAACCAGATTTTAACTATAAAAAAAAAACTCCAACTTCATTAAGCATTTCATGAACTGATTCTCAAAAACATGGGTTTTGAGGAGACAAAAGTATTATTAGATTTTGAAAATGAATTCAACAAATAGGAGAAACAGAAAGAACTCTTACAATGTAAGAGAGTGCTATATCAGGGTCAAAGCTTGTATCATCATCATCCTTGTTGTAATAACATGCTTCCCCTTCTTCAAGGTCATGTTCTTCCATCATCTGAACCCTACTACTTCCCCAACTCATAAATAGAACCTAACCCCAAATTTCAAACCTTTCAACACAAAACCCTAACCCTAGCCCCCCTTTTACCACCTATCCTAAAATCCAACATATCACTCACAATTCAAAAATCCAACTTCGACCCATCAAACTACTCACAAAACCCAGAAAAACCCAGAAATGAATTGCACAGTTATCTATCCAACCTTCAAAATCAATAACTACCATTGAACTTCTTGATCATCTAGGTATATTCCTAGTTGTTTATCAAAAACTTGGACCATAAAAACACTTAAAAATTAAATTTTTAAATACCCCAAAATGGATTTTCGAAGAATCAAATTTGTTGACAACCCCAGGGAACGAGCGATCGAATTGATTCTCAATATGATGTTCTTCTATTGTTTGATACCACAGGGTATAGAGAAAGAAACAAAGCCTTTGTTTTTCTTTTATATTTTATTTCCTTTTTAGGTCCATTTCTCTAATTTTTCTGTCTTAATTACACTTTTTTTTATTTTTTACTTTTTTCACTCCAAAATTATTTTCCGACAAAGTAATGAAATTTCATAATAAAATGTGGGGAAAATAAAATCAAATTGGTCAAACCACTCTGTGAGTTGAAAATCCAGCAAGGTGTCCGGAATCTACTACTACCATGTAATAAAGCAAAATATTTCATGTCAATAAAAAATATAGTTTATCACTAACAAATATTATATTATGTTTTATTAAAAAAACGAAACAAAATGATAATCAAACAAAAAAGAACCTCACTTACACATTAGGGTAAGAAATTTAGCTCATAATATGGTCTGATTTATTTGGACTTTGATTAATATCATAATTTTAGTTTTAAAAAAATCTATTTATTGATTGATTGATTGATGTGCATTTTATAAAAATTAAAAAATCACAACCACTTAATGATGATTTGAATAGATATGAATAACTAAAGATAATTTTAAAGTTGGTTCAAATAAGTTGAGTACACATTCTAATTAAAAGAGAAAATGATGTAGGTATTAGTTTTGATGAGTTAATGTCTCATGTGGTCATTTAACTATGCATCCTTTTCTTAAAAAGTCACTCAACTTTCAATTTTCACTCAAAAGTCACTCAATTATGCACTTCTTTCTCAAAAAGTCACTCAACTTTGAATTTTAACTCAAGAGTCACTCAACTATCCACTCTTTCCTCAAAAAGTCACTCAATCTATTAAATTATTTTTAATTAAAAATTATTGATATTAATTATTTATATAACAAACCAAAAATTTTAAAAAATAAATTAAACCATTTAGTGATCCACCCACCTAACCCGATCCATTAAAAAATATGATGACCCATTTTATTTTGTCTTTAATTCTAAATTAATCCCTCTCTTAAACCTTGAATTAGAATTAAAGACAAAATAAAATGGGTCATATCATATTTTTTTATGGATCGGGTTAGGTGGGTGGATCACTAAATTTTTAAATGGTATTTTTATTTTTTTAAAATTTTGGTTTGTTATATAAATAATTAATATCAATAAATTTTAATTAAAAAATAATTTAATAGAGTGAATGACTTTTTGATGATAGAGTGGATAGTTGAGTGACTTTTGAGTTAAAATTCAAAATTGAGTGACTTTCTGAGAAAGAAGTGCATAGTTGAGTGACTTTTGAGTGAAAAATGAAGTTGAGTGACTTTCTGAGAGAAAAGTGTATACTTGAGTAACCATCTGAGGTATTAACTCCACATTCTAATTAAAAGAGAAAATGATGTAGGTATTAGTTTTAATTATATGAGTTTCTTGTATAATTTTGCAATTTATGTAGAACTAATACAAGTATTACTTATACACATACTTGGTATTATTATATGGATAACTAACATATGACAAGTTATTGTATTAGCAATACAGGAATTTTTAGTACAAGTATAAAGATGATTAAAGACACAATTATCCTAGAAAGTGTACAAAGTTAAAGAATGTGAAGAGTATTACTATAAATAATAATATTTTAGAAATTATGCAATGCATGTTATTAATACTCTCATAAACCCTTCAATAATTAAGGAGACAAGAGACATTGTATTGAAAGATTTGGAGCACTTCGAGAGAAGTAATATTTTAGGTATGATAGGTGTGTAAAGGTGGAGAGGGGGGAAGGGGTATTGTCCGTAGGATGTGCCAGGAAAGGGCAATAGAGTCGAATGAGATTTTAGTGAAATTTTTAAAAGCACAGGCAAGTTTGGAGTGGTTGACCGGGTTATTTAATGTTATTTTAAAGACGCTTAAAATATTCAAAAAATGAAGGTGGAGTACAATGATTTAGGTATACAAAAACAAGAGCGACATTCAGAGTTGCAACAAGTATAGGGGATCAAGTTATTGAATAATACTATAGACTTTGGGAGAAGATGGTACAGATGAGAATAAAGAATCACGTGTCTAATTTCTAAATGAGCTTATACTCATGTCCAACTTCATAAACCATTCATTTTTTTTAGGAGACTAATAGAGTAGTATGGTGTTCATCAACCTAGAAAAGATATATGACAATGTTTCATGAGAAGTTCTGTGGAGATATATGGAGGCTAAAGGTGTACATGTAAAATACACTATGACAATTATAGACTTGTTTGAGGGGCTCTAGACTCAAGTAAGACAGTGGGTGAAGACTCAAAGCACTTCCAATTGTGATGGGGTTGCATTGGGGATCAAGATAAGGTATCATAGTGTACATTATTTATAGCTAACATGTTCTAATTGGTGAGATTTATGACGGAGTGAATGTTAAACTTGATAGAGACAGTTGTTTGAGTCTAAAGGGTTCAAGTTAATCAAGACCAGAGGGTGATGTGGATGCTCGTTTTCATAGTCAGTGTGACTAGAAGGTGTCAATAAAACATAAAGATGGGTTCTGCATAGTGGTGGTCAGACAGTTATATTGGATGTAGCAGAGTGTTGCCAGTTAAGAACTCTCATGGATGATGATATTTGCTGAAATAAGGATGTACATATGAATGTGTAAGGTTACTAAGGGAGATATAATTAGAAATGAAGATATTTAGGACAATGTGAAAGTGGTCTTGGTGGAGGATAAAATGCAATAGTTTAGACATGTAAAGAGGAGATCCACGGATACCCTTGTACGGAGGTGCGGAAGATTGACTATGTATGATCTTAGAATAGGTAGAGAAAGTCTAAATAAATACTAGAGATAAGTGAATGACGGTACATGTCGTAGTATTAGCTTATCGAGAACATGAGTCAAGGTAAGAAGCTACGAAGTCACGAAACAGAGTAGCAAGCTAGTAAGTAGTTGATAATTGTCTGACTTAATGTTGCATACTAGTAGTCATGGTATTATTCTTGCGGTTGTTTGTTCTTAGATTTTTGTTACTATTTGTGTTTCTTGTATTTCAATTTTTGTTACTATATGTTATTACTTTTATTTTGATTATAATAATATTAATATGATGCAGTAATTGTTCCTTTTTCAAAATGTCCTATCATGTTGTATTTTGTATTTTGTATTTTGTTATGATTTTTTTTCTTATATTGAAAATAATATTTTTACCTCCTAAGATAAAGATAAAATCTGCGTATATACTACTTTGTCTAAACCTCATTTGTGAAATTTCACTAAAATTCTTTATTGATAATTTTAGTGTTATTTTAATATATCAAACCACATATCACATAAAAATATAACGCCAATATAATTAATCTCAACATAAACAATTTTGCACTATTAATTTCAACATTACTATTACTATACCTTATTTAACACTATTCTTATAAACCCTAACAAATGACTCCTTAAAATGGTATTAATATCTCCCCAAAATGATAGAATACACAAGTCATTTGCACTTCTCTTTTTCTTTTCTTTTTAATGTTTTAACTCTCCTTTTTAATATCATCCCTCCAAATGTCACTATGTTTTCTCTTCTCTCCTCTTTTTCTATTTTTATAGTATTTTTTCTATAACATAAGCTGAAAAATCTCTACTTTTATACAAAAAGTGAAGAAAATACCAAAATTTATCCTAAACTAGACAAGTCTCACAATTCTCATAATGAAAAACCAAATAAAATTTTCATATAAGTGATTTCATATAATTTCTATTTGAAACATATAAACTAAAAACATTATTATAGATCTATATATCTAAAATAGCAGTATAAAACAACTTGATTAACATTATTTTGATGCCATGCGATACTTTATTGCTAATAAATTACAATTTTAGATTTCTACATAGATATTAGCGATCAAAAAAATTCAACATGTAATAGAAATTAAATGTTATAACAAATTCTAAGTTGTTTGTTCTTAAATCAGTATTAATGGATCCATTGGAGTAGTTCATAGACAAAATTAGTAAGAATTGATTACCTTTCTGGATGGTTAGATTCTCAGCCGGAAAAATTGAAGATCGTGTTGAAAGTTTGTTGGATCTGATGAAGATTAAAAAAAAAAGATAAACAGAACAAAAAAATAAACAAAAGTTAGTATAAATAAATTAGAATTTGCTAGTTTTGTAGCTTTTCGACCTGAAAATAGAGATTGTGGATGGCGCAAATGTGATGGGTTTGATAGAACATAGAGAAGAAAAACAACAAAAAGGAGAAATAAAGCGAGAGTGAGTGAGAGAGAGTAAGAGAAGAAAGTGAGAAGAACATATTTTTAATGTATAAGTATAATTAATTATATAATCTCAGATTGAAGATCAACACTTGTACAATTTAATCAGTTTTTATGTCTCTTGGACTTTTTTGAAGAAGTTGAACACACTTTTGTCGTCACGTCATTATAGAGGGATATATTAAGACCATTTAAAATTAGAATAGTGAGATAATAAGTATAAAGATTCGATCCGTTGTTACTAAAGAATATCTCGTGCAAAATCTCAAAATTCTTGTAATATGGTGTCAAATTTTAAAATTTTGACCACACAATGAATTGACTTATTTTGGAATGGTTGGGTTGGCGTCAGCCCCCCATAGCGGAAAGTCTCCACCTATGGAGGTGCCACTGTAACGCCTGTATGGGCCCTATAGTGGGTAGACATAAATTCAGACCCTAATAAATATGACTTATTCTATTTTCCTCTAACTTTTGAATGGACAAAATAGATGAGAAATGCTCCAAAAACCCTCCAAGGACACCCATGAGATCAAGGGGGAAGAGATTACTATGCAAGCGAGGTGAAAATCTAAGGAATTTTGATGGACATTCATCATGGTTTGCTTTCATGGAGTAGAAAGTTCAAAGCCAAGGTCTATCAGTTGATGTTTGGTGCCCAACTAAGCTGAGTAGCGAGACTCGGTTACACTGCATTATATTTTGTAGATTTTCATAAACTGCATGTATAAGCCTTGGGCACAAAGTCTGAACGGTTAAACTTGTGGTTAAAATAGTTGGTTGATAGTGATTGTTAGCTAATAGTGACTAATTGTTTTGT